TTTGCCGTTTTCTTAACCCTTTGCGGCCCTCAAAGGATGAGCATTATAGTTAATGGATGAACAGTGTTAATGCTTATTCCTGAGCATTGTTTTAAGACAACCTCCTAAAATCTGACAGGGTTCTGAAAAACATTTCCCTGAAACCAATAAAAAGAGCCTCACCAATAATATTGACCGTTGTCTTGATTACTCACACACTGTAAATCTAACACACCCATTGCCAATTGTATTGGTTGTAGCTGTGTTGCTTAATGCCAGCTTTTATGCTTCTATGGTTTTTAATCTTAATAACAGATGACTTCTGTCAGACAGATGGCAAAAACAAAAATAGTCTTGATCCCAAATCAGCCTTGTATTACTTTAACTGTACAAGCAATTACTCTTGATCTAGCCACTATCATAAAAGACATAAAAGTAGATGAAATAAATATTGCCCTTTTGAATAAAGATCCAATGGCTATGCTTGAAGATAGTGCTTTGGTTGTTATGGCTATAATGAATTCAGAATGATATCAACACTGTGTTCAAATGTGAGGAGGAGTCCGGCTTATGTTTGATATAGACGACCAACGTGCTTCAATAGATCCACGTCTCTGCCTTAGAAAATAATAATAATAATATTAATAATGGTGTAACCCAGGATATTTTGTGTAGTTTGCCCAGTTACAGATGTTCCTGAAATGCGTGCACCTGAAGCTACTGTTACTGTTGCAGGTGATGCTGAGCAGCTGCACACAATAGCACACATGTACTACTTGCTTAATTAGCCGGGGGCCCTACTCAATGTGCGTAGTGAGCATAAATGGAGGTCCCAGCACATTCAGCACTAAACAATTACATATATTGTCAATAAATGTGTGGGGGTTTTTTCAGGTTCCCAGGTCAATAAGACCAGCATATAAATTTGGAAATTTAAAATCCCAGAAATGTACCCTAACGTCTCTGCGCCCACAGATGTGCAAGCAACTGACTGAGCGGTTGTAGATGTAATAGAAATGTTACATTCATTTTATCTTGGTAGCATGGAAGGCAAACTTTGTTTTTGTTCTAAAAGCTTACCGTCCCACCTTTGATCACAGTTTCCTTGTATTTGGCCTCAAGGCTACTGTAAAACACTCCACAGGCCTCAGAGTGCACCAGCTTACTGCACAGAGCCAGAGGGAGAGATTTAGCCTCAGACTGGAGTGTGTGTAGTAGTAGGTGTGTAAGAATGAATGTAAATGTATTTGGTTAGTGTATCAACTGTGTTATGTGCATTTAGGGTATATGTATCTAAATGTAACTCTGTGTGTTTGTGTGTGCGTGTGTGTATTGCTTGTGTGGGAAGTAGTCTGTACAGATATAAGCGGTGTGTATGACTCCCATGTTGCAGCGCTCCACCCCTGCCTCGCTCTGTTGGGAATCTGACCTCTTAGACTTTCATCCCCTACTTTAATAAACGAGTGTATGGCTCCCAAGACCTTGCCTCGCCTCCTCATCTCCCCCTCTCCTGTCTAGTTCCCCTCCTCACCTCTCCAGTGGTTTATGTCAGCTCATCCTCTGCATCAGCGTTCATCCCTGACTTGCACTGCAGTAAATTCACATCTCAACGAGCCACTCCCTTAGATTCACCTTGTTTTCCAGTGGTCACCAGTTGCAGACTGCTTGTACTGGAAAATCTGTACTGGTGCAGAGCTGTCGAAAATAGTTTCAGGAAGAGAGAATGCACACTCTACCTTGACTCTCATGCCTGGATCAAACAGATATGGGAAAACAAGGTGTTAATGGGAGAGAAGGAGAGAGGACGTATGAAAAAGATCAAGTGTGAGTGGGAGGATGAAAAAAGAGAGGGGCGTAAAAGTGAGGGATGAGAGGAATCCCCCAGGTAAAGAGATTGTTGTGATGCATTGTGTAGAACTGCTCTGTTATCTGATGCAGACTCAGCTCTAACACCTGTCACCAGTCCTAATGAAACAGCTCCCACAATCCCCTGCTCCCTACTCTTTTGTTCACTCCCTCGCTCCGCTGCCTGCGTGTGTGCGTGTGTGTGTGCTCGCGTGCGTGCGTGTGTGTGTGTGTGTGTGTGTGTGTGTGTGCATGCATCCTTACTCTCTGTTCTTCCTGTATGTGTTTGTGAAATTGTGAGTCTTTGCAGGTCTTATGTGGCTAAATGCCCTAGTGTGTGTGTGTGTCTGTGTGTAATTCCACAACTGGATGCTTGAGTCTGGTCTGTGCAACATTAATAATGACTGCTCCTTCAGATGAGATACTGCTCTGCTACCACTGTCTGTCTGGGAGGAGCGTGCACACACACACAGCTTTTTTCGCCCTGCCTTACATTTTATTAGAGGCTAGCAGTAGTTCATCTGTCGCCATCTGTGAATACTTATAACTTTCACTGTCAGCCTCACTAATTGACAATCTGCTTCTCTCTGCTCACTCACATCGATTTCATCTCCTCCTCCTTCCTGTGGAAACCTATTGACAAAACATGATGATTTTAAGATTTCATCAGACAGAAGCCTTTGAGCAAGTCATTTGTAAATTGATAATGGATGTAGAGTGTGGGTATCAGTCGTTGGACGGGTATCTTGTGCACTTCTCCAACTTCTCCATCCCAAACTTCCTCATTGGTTTAATGTCTTCCTGCAGGTCACGTACAACTCGATCACCTGTGGTTTGAGTGAGTCCAGTAAATTCCTCCAGAGCTAAAGTAGAACTGACCTCACCTGTAGAGCACCTTGTTGGTTGGTCTTCATGTGGGATGAATCCCGGAAGAATCCTTAAATGTTGTTGGAGATCAGGATCAGGGCGCAGGTTCAATACTTATTGTAATATTTTCAGTGATTTCTCAGGAAAAATCTGTGTAATCTGGTTCTGCTTGGTTTAATTTAAGAGGACTGTTGGGTCTTGCTGAAGGTATGATCTCCACTGAATGCTGTTCTAGTCTTGATATTTTTCTTTTTTGTGACAATTCCTTAGACAGGAAATTAGCTTTTGTAATGACTGTATTTGTTCAGGGCGCCTTAGCTGCATTCCCGCCCAAGACAATTGTGACTGGTTTAAAGAAATACTGTTTTCAAAGTGTATGTTATATGTTATATGATATGTTGAACTACAGGTTACTTCATTTTCAAATGTTCCTTGAGGCGTATTCCAATCTTCACCTTCCCATATGTCATCAGTGTGGCTCACCTGCGGCTGTGGGAGCGTGCTGCATTACATTGATGGCAGAGTCGAGGTGTCTCTGGGTGCCATTATGTCCAAACCTCTCTCTACCCTCCACACCCTCTCAGCCATTCCCAGGCCAATCTGCAAGTCATTACTGATGCTCCATTACACAGTACCTCAGCACAGCCTCATATAGAGATGACTCTGCAGTATGTGGCTGCTGGTGTGGTTTAACGTCAGGTAGTCATTCCTGATTAATGCAGTTCCCACTGATTTATCTTGGCAGATACAAACGACTGATATCCTAATAGGAGAATTACAGTTTTGCTTAACAGCGCTTATGGTGGGATATGACTTAATTTAAAAGCTCTACATTGGTGGGTTTTTGGGGCCTTTCTGATTGTTTCCCTCATCTCCAGAAGAGCATTAAACAAATATTAGTGGATCTCAGTTCAGCAGTATTTATAATATTGCAGAGGCTCTTTCTAACCACTCAAGCTTGCAGAATATGCAGAATAGTCTCTCATTCAGATTTGATATTAATTATAATTTTCCACAAGCTAAATGTCTAGCATCTTTGAACAATAAGGAGGTAAATCACCACTATTATCAGTAAAGTGACACTTGACTCAAGCATCATGGTGTAAAGTCACTTTACAGAAGATGTTAAACATGTGGTATGAGCAGGGCTTCCAGCTGAGAGCTGCGTATTGTCTTTTGATTTACTTAGAGCTGAAAAAAAAAAGAAACACTAATGGATTTCAATTATTGTTAGTTGTCAGTTAATATGATGCAAAGCCAAACATTTAGTTTTTGATTGAAGAGCAGCAAGGAGCTGCTCAATAGAAGTGCTGACCCCTCCGACGTCTCCCGCTCTAATCCCCAAACTGTGGCTGGTTTACTGTACAGCCTCATAGAATTAACGCTGCCTCTGGCTCTCAGTTTTCTCCACAAATAAGAACATCCTTTTGAAATAAAAGAGAGAAAACATACCTCCTATCCATTTTAGCTTTGTATTAGGAGAAAGGGTTGATTCCGAAATGACATGCGCTGCCACATTTAATATTTAGTGTTTAATAAGTAGGAGTAAAATGGTTCCTCGAGAGTGTTGATCATTTTTAAGTAGAGCTTTTGATTCTGATTCAAATTCAGATTCTTTGTTAATCCCAGAAGTGCCACTTGTCACACTGTCTAACCCATGTAAATAAATAAGAATAAATAAATTAGTACCCACAATTTTCATACATCAACATGCCACCAGTGCACAAAGCAGCAACATCAACAACAATAACAATCAGCAACATAAAGCTAGCAGCCTGATAGCAGATGGAATGAAGGAATTTGATTCATTTTACGAGCTGGCAGATATTAGCCCTGTTCTGAGGTTGTGTCAGGAAATGATTTTCCTTAAACTACAAAATTATGACGACAATTGGTTTTAGCTTCCTCAACAAATGTATTCTTTAGTTTCCCCATTTGACAAATAGTGTTTGTATCACATTTAAAGTTGTGAGTCAACAACCTCTCTCTTGCTCTCTTGCTTGGCTCACACAACTTTTGTTGATGGATGAAGGAAATAAAAGAAAACCAATTAATTATTATGGGCATAAGAGAGTTATGCAAGGTCATGATCCCAAAAAACAATCATTAGATTCATTTTTAAATCTCAAGTTTTACATGTCAGTTGCAATACATCAGCATTGTCACTTACTGTATCTTTGAGTGTATTGGATGTGGATTTTTTTATTATGTCAGAGAAGAAGTTATAAGATTTCCTTATTCTGCCTCCTGCTGAGAGCTCCTTCCTTCTCTTCCAACTCTTTATTCTTTATATTTTCTCTCATTTTCAGGAGTGTCCCCAGATCCTTCCCTCCACTCAGATCTACATCCCTGCTGGCGTCATGAGGCCGATCACCCTGCTGGCCCAGAACCTGCCGCAGCCTCAGTCTGGACAGAGGAACTACGAGTGCATCTTCCACATCCAGGGCAACACGCACAGCGTCCCGGCTCTGAGGTTCAACAGCACCAGCATACAGTGTCAGAAGACCACGGTAAGACTCAAACACGTTCACGTGCACATGCAGCTACAACTTCAGCAGCTCACAGACCTGATATCCCCAGCAACGTCTGCTAACCTGAGAAATGTGAGTTGGTAGATTGAATGAGGGCCTTGTTATCGACTGATTACCACCTCAGCCAATTTCAATTAACGACCTCTCTGCTCTGACCAATCCCAGGCTGTTAACTCTGTCAGCAGGAGCTCCGATAGGTTTAACCATCGGGAGGCTTTACAGTTGGTTAGTTGCAGCGTGAGACGGAGAAGGCAGCAGTAATAGACTGGCGTGGCGAGGAGTCGAAACCGAGGCATGTAGCCACAGGGACCGACTGTCGCAAAGCCGCTCTCTCTTCATTTCCACCCTTCATTCCTGCCTCTCAGCCCCCAGCCAAACTGTCCCCGCTAATGGGGAGCAGCCGTTTCAGCTATGTTAATTTCCTCCGTTCCAATCAGAGCATGAGACAGAGGAGAGGCATTTTAACGACACCAATTATGACTTACTTAACGAGACATATTATTAACATTTCAGCCGCACAGCGCAGCGCTCGCTCACAATGATAGGTCCAATACAGGGAGTTCCGCAGTTTAAAGAGGCAGTGGGATCCAGTATGTGGCTTTGGCAGATTGCACCGGCCGCCTTTTCTTCAGCCTGTCACACACTTGTCAGGGGGCTGTGGGTCGTTTAGCCGGCTGACGCGTTACCGCTGGGCTCAGAACACATCACTGATTTGTGGCCACTCGCTGTTTTTTGAGCTCTACCCAGTCACCCACTCCCTCATCACACAAAGGCAAAGATTGAGCTTCAGCTTTGTGAAACTGGACACCGTTCAGCCTCTGCTGTCGGATGGTGACATGGAAAATAGTTCTGGGGGACATTACTGAAGTGGATTTTTCAGATTGTAATGATGGCTCCCAGAGTTCCTTTGTGCTTAGGAGAGCTGTGCATATTTAGCAGCTTGTGTTTCTGTAATAGCCCCATTTGATTGACTTCTGTTAGATTTTACTTTTTGGGTTGTTACTTCTCTTATCATTATTATTCTTTAAAGCCTGTTGAACAGAGGGAGCTGCAAAAAAACAGCAAATGCTAAACATCAAATTCAGAAGTGCAGATCCTTTTATTATTGAACTATTCCATAAACCTCAGATATGAGCTGATTTCAGACATGCCCTGAACTCCATATAATCTCCAGATATTATCCGGAGCAGCTGTATATACAGAAATGTCCACGTGAGAGGCTCCAGACTTTCTCTGAAGCTTCTCCTGCCAGTCCCCACGTAAGAATTGCGAAAAGTGTCTAAATGAGCTCATGTTAAAGAACAGCAGGAGATTATCTGGAGGATTCAGTGAAGATGCCATGAGAGCTTTTTGTGATAAGAGCCGACGCTGATGTTTTATCTACTAAACAAAAACATTATAACTCTATGTCGTGCCTCTGCCTGCTGGACCACCCCTCACCTGAACGCTCTGAAGGTCTCTATGGTATTTGAGTGCAGAATCTCCTGCTGCGTGTTTCTCATGTGAAAGGCTAATTCCCGAAAAAGTCTAGACCCAATTGTGCGGACATTCTCTGGAGTTCAAGTCTGAAAAGGGCGATGGTGAGGCACTTTTAAAGAAGTGATGACTTCTGTCACTGACAATGAAAAGCTATTGCTCCTAAAATAAGAGCTAAACCAGGTATTATATGGAAAACCAAACACAGCAAGTAGCAGTTTACATTCCGTGTTTGATACACTCATTACCACTGCTGCTGCAGGGCAGAGAGTTTCCTCAGCAAAACTCTGATACAGCGGCAAACCAAAAAACGTATGCACAATCGCTCACATCTTCAATTGTCAGTGTGAGCTTTAATGTTTTGTAAAATCCCAATGTTGTCTCTGCTGGAAAAATGTAAGGCCTCAACACAACTTTGCAGCTGTTGCTGAAGAGAGTGGTATAGTGTGTGTGTGTGTGTGTCTCTCCACGCCCCCGCCTCTCTCCCCGTCAGGTGGGACTGTGATAGGATCCAATTAAGGGAGCTGTAGATAAAATGATGATGAATTGCTGTTTTGTGGTAAACTGACGGACACACACATACACACACAAGCCTGGCAAACCACTAAAACACACAAGAGGGAAGTAAAAAGACAAAGAGAGAGGCAAAGAGGAGGTGAGGGAATTCGGAACAGACAATGACGACGCAACAAAGAGTACTATAAGGACGTAAAAAGAGGGAAAAGAGAATAAGAAGAACAGAGACAGACCGGAGGTGGGTGGGGGCTAAGCTCAGCAGACGTATGGAAGGAAGGGAAATAAACGAATGAGGTAGAAACAGATGGAGAGAGAATGAATGTGGAATATAAAAGATGTGTATGTCTAAGAAAGGAATGCTGAAAGAAAAGGAATTATGATCCGCACAGAAGTGGGAGTGAGAATAGAGGAACTAGAGGACCACAGGGTGGAAGGACAGCTGAGACAATAGGGAGCGAATTTCAAAGTGATTCAGATGTGTAGTGATGGTTTGGATATATTTACGTCTACATTACAGGAACAATTATATCAAGTTAATGTTGGGATACTCTGTCAGGACAAAGCAAAGATGACTCACCACCTTTCCACTGAACAATCGCCATGATGCCTTTCGGTAAACCACTTGAAAGACCAGCAGTGCTCATGTATCTGCACAGTTAAATATGAAGCTAACTTCAACATCATGTTGATCTTTATCCTTTTTTTTTCTTTCTTTTGCGATGTGAACCCAGATAACTACACCTGGATTGAGTTGTTCAACACAGATCTGATCTGAGTGTTGTGTCAACACCTCATCGTCAAATGGGAAATGCAGTTTGATTTGAAACGTGTACATTAACATTTAATAAGTAGAGTTGAAGACTGCTGACTTGATGTTACAACATTGCACAAAAAGCAGGTTTCATGTATGCTGTCTTAAAATCATACTATAAATAAATGAGAGACTCCACCAGTTTGTTATATTAGGTTCTGTTTACTCATTAGTGCAAATACAGCAAAGCCTGTGATGATCACTCCTGTATATGAAGTTTCCCTCTGTGGTTCTCTGGTTCTCTGATGCTCACTGAACAGAGTAGAGAGGTTTGCCTCTCGCACTGGCCACCTAGCTTTGTAAAATGAAAGGTGCCATATAAATCCATGTTATCGTGATATTATTATTTTTATCAAATTGGTAGATTTGTTGCAAGTTGCGTTTTTGTGATAATAGAAAGTCCTCATGCTGTTCATTCACTTTAAAAGAGCTATAACCAGCTAGGAAGGATCCAAAACCCAGAAAATAAATGGGGTAACTTCACCAACCACACTCTCACTCACTAACCAATGTCACTTGACTACAAACAGGTTTAGTACTTCCCACCGTGGACATATTGGTATAGTTGTCTCTACGTTACACATCATAATTCCTATCTTTTTTCACTTTAAGGCTTTTTTATATAGTTTAATCTGACCCTGAGTCATTAAAATAAAAATGTCTTCATCATCACCATCATCATCATCAATATTCACTTCCTTAAATAAATTTGGGACAGCCATACACACACAATTAATCAAATTAATTCATAAAGTCAGTTTAAACATTATGAATAATTAAAAATGTCATTGGAAGAGTCTTTCCATCCATATGTAAATGTTTCTTTTACCTCCCCTTCACTAGTAATTACTTCCTCATACATAATAATTAGTGTGTTTTCAAGAACAATTAGAGCAAGAGAGCTAACGCAGAGGCTCGACACATGCAGAAGAAGATCCATGATTGAGAAGCAGCACCCTGGTAACCATTGTGTTCAGTATCCTGAGCAAGCGGGTGTGTGTATGTATCACAGCTGCTGTGACGGGGACAGTAGAGTGTAATAAATCACAGAGAAAATTAGCCAGCAGTACATGTACACTCATCCATTCAATCTTACTGTCTCTTTGTGCATTATTTAGCCCCTCGCCCAACACTGAATCATTGAACTTGCATACTCAAATACTCCGGGGACCCAAAGTATGCATGGATGATCACAGGAAAACACATACACACATACACACAGGCACCCCCAGATAGGATACATGCAAGCTGCGTGGATACATACTGTTTTGTTTCATGGACAAACACACACACCCTCCCCAGGGGTTTGGAAGCCCGATGTGAAGCAGACATATGGAGATTCTCCACATGATCCTCTCCCTAATCATGTGGAGCAGACGGAGACTGTAGCATCAGCAGCAACCAGCAACCTGCTTTACGTGATTTATTACACCGACACACACGCTATCAAACTCTGTGTGTGTGTATGTGTGTGTATGTGTGTGTTTCCTACTGTAAGTCCATGCATCTGGCACACTTGCGAGCGGCACAGTGCATGTTGGGAGGGTGACAGACTGTTTGTGTGTTCACAGTCCACAAATTGTTCTCCACTTGGCACAAGTCTGGACCCAATGTAACACACATACAGTACCTTTGCAGTACTTTATACAGACGTGCATGTTCCTCCTCAACATTAAAGCTAGGGTGGGTTGGCCTGGAACAGCGAGCAAGAGCAGGCTTCAATATGCAACCGATAAGTCCCACCCCCTCTCGTGAACGTGCACTGACAACTGCTAGAAGATGAATCCTTTGTGAATCTCTTGCTAACTTCGGAGAATCATCTCTGCTTCAACAGTGTGTGTCTCTCCGGCTTGTTAGACTTCAGACATGTGCAGTGTGGGCATGGTGTGTGTTGACAGGCAGGTCGGTTACAGACACTTACGCCAACCAATCATTTAATTCATAATGTAATGATCAGTCGTCAAATAAAGATACAAAGTGTTTAAGGAACAACTTGCTAACCCTTTACCTTTAATTTGTTCTGTCAAACAAACAGTAGGTTTAGCAGCAGAAACTTGGACTTGTGTTTGTCTGGTCGTGTGTAGACAGTGGTTGAGGAAGTATTTAGATTATTAAGTAAAAGTAGCAAAACTGCAATATCAATATACTCTATTGCAAAATATATTATTTAAAATAA